CAATATAAAAAGCGTTATATATATATATATATATATATATATATATATATATATATATATAACCCTGATAAGAAAAGGCCTGAGAAACAATGTTTTACTTGCAAATGTATCTCATTACGGAAGCTGAAATGCATTCCAAATTTTTCAGGTTTTCTTATTTATTTTTATTCAATATGTAATGCAACCAAACTGATATTTATTCTCTGAGCTTGGCTGAACTGAAGCTGAACTTCTCTGTATTATATGGTGATCTTTCTTTTTCAGAAATCACATCACACCTTGATTTTGCTCAGTGTAAAGATATAAATCATGATTTCACAATAGACCATTCACCTGTTCTGAGGTCCATCACCCACTAGGTACTCAATGACCCTGTCCATGGCACCTCGCTCTCTGGGGAAGACGGGTCTGGCCAGCGGAGGACCTGGAGGGTGCATTCCTGCGAACACACACACATGTGTCAGTGCGCTCCTCAGACATGTGACGGCATCTGTGGCTCAGTGCTGCATGGCCGATGATGAATGATAAGAGGGACAGCTTTTAACAACGACACTGATATGGACCTCCCTCCTCATGCCCGCTGTGATCCACACTCATAATTAATATAATTTAACATCAAGAGCAATCATAGCGAGAAGACTGGTCATTTCTGCCAGACTTGGCGTAGTCAGGAATCCCTGCTGCTTACTCATTTACCAGCATATGGAGACGCCGCAGTGGACCAAGGTGCTTTTCACTTCCACTTACTTCCTAAAGGTGTTTGCTTGAACAGGACCCAGAACTGTTTGCACATAGCAGGGCCTGTGTCACCTGTCAGTCACTGCTAGCAGATGTTAGTAGTCGACTGCATGGGGATAAATAAAATAGCGCTATCCATCCAAAAGATAAAGACTGCGACTGCTCCCGTGTTATTGCAGCATTAGTTTTGCACTATTAAAACATTTATTAATATTCTGAATTAGCATTTACTTTTATATTTTCAGGTTTCATTTTAAATTTTAATTTAAGTTTTAGTAATTTTGCTAGGCATTTGTCGTTTTTGTTTCTTGTATTTCTATACGGTTTTAATTCATTCCATTTCATCTGTGGTCATTTTAATTCTTCAACTTTCAGTTAGTTGCCAAGGCAACATTTTTTGATTTGTTTATGACTGGTCAGTTTTGTCCCTTAAACAACAACATTACAGATCTGTGATGAAAAACCATTAACAGCCCTTCTATGACAAGAAAAGCCAATCAGATGTTTAGTGAGGGACATGAGACGCACCCATCGCTGGGCCAGGCGTGCCAGCCGGGGTTCCAGGCCTCCGGATCAGACCATGTGGGGTTGATGTAGACAGACCTTTTTCAGGTGGCCCTCCCGGGGCAGAAAGTGGAGTGGGGGGGGCCGAGGGGGCAGGAACGGGTGGAGGACGTCCAGTAGGACGAGGGGTCACATGCCGCTGACGCAGCTCTGAGAAGGAAATGACATGATTCTGACAGTGAAATATGACACCTGATAAGCTGAAGTCTACATCTGGGATTGCTAACCCCACAGCCCCAATTGGGGTGATCTAGAGTAGAGCCCGACCGATATGGGTTTTTTGGGGCCGATACCGATATTAGGGAGTAACAAATGCCGATATAGATATATCAGTCGATATTCTTTGTGTATATTATAGTACAGTACCAGTCAAAAGTTTGGACACTTTCCCATTCGTGTGTCCAAACATTTGACTGGTACTATATATAGAATACAGTATATACATAAACAGAAGATATATACATATTTTTTGCAATGATCACTCAAATGTGGTGATCAAACACTTATAATGGAGTGACAAAGATATGTAATGATGGAGGCAGGGCATTTAACAATTTAACAATAAACTTTATTATCCAAAATGAGTCTGACATCAGTGCACTGAACAGTAAAATTGAAGTTTATTCAACTTTAATTCAATTCAACTCCATTCAACTTTATTACGTTGAAGTTTATTTCTCTTCGGAACATTAATTCACGGATTTGCGCTACTGTCTTCACACACATACGAAACTTACTAGAGAAGTGTGACATAATATATCTCTGTAAATAAATATAAATTCACGTCTCGCACACTTTAGTGCACTTTAAATGTAACGTGTACATTCCCTTGGAACTGGAATCGTGGCGGAATATCATGTGAAGTCCACTTCGCAGGGCACTTACGGTCGAATAAGCCAACGCTTGAATGCTGCTGCCTGAACAAGAGACCTCCTTACTGAAGTTGACTGGTGTCACTATCTCGCGAACGCGCTGGCGAATCTCCACCAAATTCGGGGGATCCCTTCAGCTCGAGGAGCACTCTTGATCGCCACCCTCCGCGTGTCGGTAGCCCCCCGGGATCGCTAGATCGGTGGCGCCAGACTGCGAATTTAACGACCCGTAACTCCCGAACCCCGGGGGCTATCGACGCGGGGGTGGTCTCATTTGAAAGAGGGCCTTGAGACGTACACTCGATTCATGTTCGAGAGGGTTCCTCGAGCTGAAGGGATCCCCCGAATTTGGTGCGGATTCACCGCACCTTTACGGAGAGGCCGTTTAATGTTTCAATGGTTTTTCATAGACTTAAGCTTTAAAGAGTTTCATTCATGTCGCCAGTAGCAAACAATGGATCATGCTCTGCTGGACAAACTAAGTAATTACACCATTTCAAGCATTTTATCTGCGTTATATGTTCTGTAAATAAAATGTTCATATCAGCGGCATATTAGCCGATACCGATATATCGGCGACAGGCTCTTATGGCCGATAATATCGGCTAAACGATATATCGGTCGGGCTCTAATCTAGAGACTGGAAAAATAACTCACTTTTTTTTTTGTTTTATAACACAGAAACCTGCCGTTTCAAAGTCGACTCTGATTTTGCTGGCTTTTCTTTCATCAGCAAGAATTATTTATTTATTCATTCACTTTTTAACGCCATGCCAGCACCCAGGTTATTTTCATGGCAATCTCTGAATAAATTATACAAGGTATACAATAAACAAAAGGTTCTAAAAGACATTTCAGATGTACACTAGACAAAAATTCTAAAATGCATTCTGGTGATACATTTTTTTATTTCATCAGCAGGAAAGAACACGTATTAAAGATACTGCAACAAGTTATTGCATTCTGATGAAAGATTGAAAAAAAATGCATAAGAATGACATGAACATGGGTCAACTGTGAGTTGATGAGAGGGGGAACAGATTTGATTGCTCACCTTGGCCTTGTCTTGGAGTCGCAGGTGGGCCAATGGGTTGAGCCTCTATCTCCTTCAGAAAAAACCAAACACAAACATTAATATTTGCACATTTAATGGAGTCATTTGCAGATTTCATTATAATAAGGTACCTACAAGCTTTTTCTTAGAGTCAGGGTCAAACCGTTCCAGAATCAGCTTGGCATTTTTGTAGGTTTCAGTTTCCATTACCTGCTCAAGCTGTTTGAGAAAATATTACAATCACAATCACAATTACATTAAACAGTGATACCAATTGATTGGTATTAAATACTGAAGACACATTGTTATGAATTAAAAAAAAAACAATTTATAAAAATCCATCAAGTCCAAGTAAAATGAAGGAACTAGACCTGCTGCTTATATCTGGGTTTAAAAGCTGAAAGAAACTCTTCTGTTTAGTTGTATTTCAAAACTTAATTTCAGGGAAAAAGCAAATAGTGCTAATTATTTAACTTTAATGAATAGAATAATTACAAGCCCTACTGCGATAATGGGGAGTGTGAAAATCCATCAGCTGTAATTATTGAAAGTTATTAGACATGACAGTGGATGACAAGCAATTTCTCAGATTTATTTCCTCCCATCACTAAACACTATTAATTTAAAGACAAGTCGTTAGCCAAGCACTTTACCAAGTAAAGTCTCTTTGCCAATTACCCGCTGTCTCCATTGATTTCAGATTATTTATGAGCAGAAATGATCTCTTTCTCTCACTGACAGCAGAGGGCCACAATATGACAAAAGGAAAACAGGACGTTGTTGTGCTGCTAACATTAGCATACGGCTAAATAGCGCACCGGGGAAGATGGGAGCACACGGTCTGCGTGCATTTACTAACTCGCACAAAATAAAAGATCCTAACATATGAGAGAGAGCGCCTCCACTCTCTATACAGTTGTGAAAACAGACAGAAAAAAAGACACAAACTAGGCCAAAATGAACTACACAACAGGAAGTGACATTCAAAGACAGACACTGCTACTGATTACTCACTATTTTCTTCTTCTCTGCTTTCAGCTCTTCTAATTTTTCATCTAAGATGCAAAAAATTAAAAGAACAGAAAAATGAATGTGTAGATACGATTAATGCTACTGGCTCATTATAATAGACTGACCTCATAATGAAATCAAACATAAAATCAAGTGCAGTAAGAATTTCTTACCGTTTCTCTCCGTTCGTCTGTTGTATAACACAATCAGCAGTTTCCTCAGCAGCCAAACTCTGCAAACGGGAAAAGAAACTCATTTATAAAGTCATCATGATAATTTGGATATTCACGCATATCAAAAGATCCAAGTAACTTGAATCAAAACCAATCTTCTATCACTCTGAATTCAAAAACTGAACTTTAAGTACTTACAACAGAGGAAATAGCAAGAATGGTGACGCCACTATTAATTTTCCTATCATCCGCTCTGGGATGTACCACACATAGACGACTGTACAGGCTATCAAGTACAGCAGGGCTGAGTACAACAGCAGTCTGTAAACCCATAACTTCAGCTGCTTCTGGTTCTTCTCTCTGTATTCCTCAAGGGCCTGGACATCCTGAGGGAGATCAATTAAAACACTCCATTAAAAACTCCATGAGGCCAGGAATTAGTAAGTTGCATTCAAACAGCAGTAGAAATACTGCTCAGATATGGAGTATAATTCATATTTAATTACATTTCTACCAAAATTACAACAAAAATGTACTTAGTATTGAATACTAAGCCAAAAGTTCAAATATATTTCAGAAAAATGGCAATGAATAAAACTGTGCATGCAAGTCCTGTCAGTAGAATGCACAGACATACAGGAGTATGTTTTCAGCAGGATCAGATAAAATAAAAGCATGCATGATAGCTTAAGGACACCAAATTACTGTAAAACTTTCAAATATCGTGCAGCATACAGAAAGTATGGAGGGAAAAGTTGTTTTGTCCAAACTTGAATCAAATCCCCATGACCTAAATACCTAAGGCAGAACTTGAGAGACGGGCTCTAATCAGAATCCGCAAAAATTTTATTTAACTGCGCACTGATCTAATCTTGTCAAGATACAAATCAGGTCAAACGTCTTTAATTCACATTTTGAAGTCACAATTAGAAGTCTTTGGTTCTAAACAGTAAATATACAACCGAGTTATTTGCGCAATACTCAAGCTCTAAGATATGGCAACTGAACAGACCTCTCTCATTGAGGTAGTACTGTATAACCCCAATCCTAAAATATTTAATGACAGTTACACAGTGCCTTACTGCAGCAGACATTTGTGCCTGTCTGTAACCTTGTGTTATTCTGAGTCACAACTGAACCTAAAATAGATAGATAAATAAATACATAAATAAATACACCAGTTCAAACATCACCATGGCCTAATTGCACAAGAACACCTTCAATGTCAGAAAAGTATAACAGACAGAATGAGTGATGTCAGGAAATGGTTGAGTGTAGTTGTATACCTTATCAAGGCCCTCCAAGACCTCTACAGTGGTTGGCTTTGCCTATGGATGGATACAGTACAGTTAGTAACAATAAAGCAAGCTGGGAGGAGGTACAAATGGACAAAATTGCGAAGTTTCTCCAATTAGATTTCTACAGTATATAGCATGTTATATTAATATCAAATCACTCTTAATTATGAAACTTTTGAAGGAATAGTTCACCCAAAAATTAGAAACTGCTGTAAATTTACTCACCATCATGCCATGCAAGACTGGCATTACATCACTTGCTCACCAAAGGATGCTCTGCAGTGAATGGGTGCCGTCAGAATGAGATTCCCAGCAGCGGATAAAAACGTCTTGTGAAAATCAAGCATCAAAAGCAGTCCATAAAAGATATAATCAAATATGTCCGTGGATTTTGATGCAGGATGTGATTTTGATGGACATTTTCACTGGAGGAAGCGTTATTATGGATTACAGACTTCTATTTTGGCGACAGTTTAAAGTTAAAATACATTAACAATACATTTGTTTCTTCCAAACATGCAGCTTTTTCCCTCAAGACTACTTGGATTATTGTGATGTTTTTATCAGCTGTTTGGACTCTCGTTCTGACGGCACCCATTCACTGCAGAGCATCCATTGCTGAGCAAGTGATGCAATGCTACATTTCTACACATCTGATGAAGAAACAAACTCAACTACATCTTGGATGCCCTTAGGGTGAGTAAACTAAGTTAATTTTCATTTTTGGGTTAACTATTCCTTTAAGGCTTTGTAGCATTCAAGAAAGACAACAGCACACCATACGTCTGTGTGACATTTCTATCAAACCACTATAAAATCAAATTGCAGATGTTAACATTAATATTGCATACAGCCCAAGTGTACATCCTACAAGTTGAGTGACTAAAGCACATTTACCCTCCACCGAGACACCACAGCCCCCATCTTGTGAGGGCAGTCCTTCTCTCGAAGCCTGGGTTCTGTTACTCTTGCTACTCCACACCAAAGCCAGACACCTGTTCACAATAAAGGCAACAGTTTCTTTCAACAATAACAATATTTAAGTTACAAACAAGATCATGATAGATGTTTTCCACTTGGGAAAACACATGGATTAGAGAATGGATTATAAAACCTCAGTAGGATTTCATTTACAAAACTGTGGATGCTTAAGTCACATTTATTAAAAGTGTGTATGTCTTCAAACAAATGCTACTTGAGTTTTTCCTCAGAGCCAAATACATTTTATGATCCATTAGATTTTTTAGTGAATTAAGTTAGTTCTCCTCAAGCTCACACAGGTGTCTAATCACATTAACCTGCAACATGACCCACTAATGTTTCAATACTTTTAGTCTTAGTATCTCTATTGCTTGGTAATTTCAAACCAAACAAACTTCTTTTTCGACAAATGCTTTGCTTTAAGTGTGTATCTGTGCGATCTTACTTTACAACTCAATTGACGTTTTGTTTTCTGTTGCAATGACATTTGCCATTCAGAAATTATGGATTAAAATGCATGTGCAAACGCTTTCAGATCCCACTGTATCTCACACACGCCGGGTTAGATGCATGAGATCCAGTGTTGGGGGTAGTAACGCATCACAAGTAACGCGCGTTACGTAATCAGATTACTTTTTTCAAGTAACTAGTAAAGTAACATTACTTTTTAATTTACAAGAGAATATCTGAGTTACTTTTTCAAATATGTAACGCAAGTTACTTTTTTTTCCCAGTGTATTGATTGACAGCTCTGGTGTCCCCATGCTGAGAGAAATCAGAAGATGCTACTGTAGCTCTAAAATAAATATGAATATGCATTAATTCATCTCACTCACAAAAACACACCGATTCAGTATTCCTCAAAATGAATAACAATAATGCAACTCAGAATATGACACAAACCTGCAATAATTAAATGTTAAACAACACAAATATCCTTTATATATTTAATCCCATTCTATTAACCTTTGTTTTTTTCTTCTATGCTTCGATGATCCAGTTCAAGCGTACTAATAAGCAAAATTACTCTAGACAAACATGTGTGTGTGTTTGTTTATTGCTGAAGTGTTGAAATGTCTTCTTCTGCATTCTACTGTACGGACGTAAATGTACTTTCCTCCTTCGATGATACAGTTCAACCGTACTAATAAGCACAAATTACTCTAGACAACATTTGTGTGTCTTTGTTTATTGCTGAAGTGTGTTGAAATGTCTTCTTCTGCATTCTACTGTACGGACGTAAATGTACTTTCCCTTCAGCCTGAGGCTTATTCATTTCACTTTTGGTGTGAAAAGGCTTTTATATTTGCCAAAAATAGAACTTTTTTATTTAAAAATCAAACAAGCAAGCCCTGTCCAGATTTAAAAAGTAACGCATTACTTTCCATAAAACATAACTAGTTACTTTTTTATGGAGTAACGCAATATTGTAATGCGTTACTTTTAAAAGTAACGTTCCCCAACACTGCTGAGATCAGTGATATCAAATATCTCCACACAGCTCACACAAAATCTGGAGGCTCTGAAAAGTAACAAGACACTCCTCTATTTTAAACTGCAGAGTCCTCAAGAGCTCAGATAGTGGGCCCACGCAAACTTGCTTGAGAGTGTTTGAAGAGTGGATAGCGCTGCGAAGAACTGCTGGAAGCACCCTTTAAAGTCGTTTCATTTATGACTTTCTGTGTTCAGCCTCACCCTTCCAGCTGGGAACGCGGTTAAATATCAAAAACAAAATTCAAACTCTTATATTCCAGGAAAATTCAGGTCGAGTGTGATTAAAACTACTACTTTACTTTAAAAAAATAATAATAATAAATAATTTAAATAAAAAAGGAGTCGCACGATATTCTTGAAACAATGATAATCAAAAGACGTAAACGTAGAAAAAAAACTTCACGAGTTAATAATCTCATAAACGCAATGTTTTAGCATAGCACGGATTTTCCGACAGATTATGTTTCCTTCCTCTCTAGCATCAGGAATGCGTTAACGTGCAGCGCAGCTCTAAAAAGACTCACTTTGAGAAACCCTAACCCGCTGCTGTCAGATTACACGGCATGTTGTGCTCTCTGTCACGCACGCGCGGTCATACAGCGTTATTGAGCATAAACACGCCGAAACCCCACACAACAAGAGATCACGGAGGATGCCTCACCCCTGAATATAAGATATTATCCAGAAGAGACTCGCGTTATTATTCCGCTACTTCCACAGCCTACGTCATCGCAGTGCGACACGGACGGTCCTCCTCTGCGTCACCGCTCTGTCACGTGGTCAAGCACGTGCTCTCTCAAAGCGCGGGAAAATAGAACGAACTTGGCGCCGTGCTTCTGAAGAGTTTACGTCAGGGCGGAAACAAATGATTTATTTCAAAAAGGTATATATATTTTGCTTATATTGAGTGTTTTGGGTGAAATAGTTCATTAATAGAAAATAGAAAATCTGCTGTTACGGCATTTGTAAACGTTACATTGTGTTAAACATGCTTATAGAACATGTGCTGATAGAAATGTTGCATTCACATTTCCTACATGAGTTATAGTCTAAACAATGTTTATTTTAAATAATGACATTAAAATAGTAGCCTATAATCAATTTAAAAATATGAATGAATGAATGTCCAATCGGTAACACACTTTATGGTATGAATAGACTTTTATGCTATTGACAGTACCAGTAATTGGCTTTGTGCCATACATAACATCAATTTATTCGGATTAAGGAAACGGGACTGTACAATCTACATAGCAAGGATTATTCTGATTATTGTTTTTACTACAGTAGCCTACGTGTAAACTGGCAAAGACACACAACTCACAATTCATACAACTGTTTATGTGTTCACACAATGAAAACAGACACTGGACAGCTGTTCAGTAAGTCACTATACTTTATGACTTCTATGGCTTATTTTTTTATACCATGCCTACTTTCTGGAGAAAAGTAGAATTCGAAAGGTCTGCATGAGGTGGTGAAATGTACAGTGCAAATATGTGATGAGCAGTTTGGTTATTTTTTATATGTAGATTAAGAAAATTAGCCTATACTAGGTTTGTCAGTTCCATTAATTCCCATTCCAAAATAAATAATAAATAAAAAAAGGTGTGAATGTGAATATATAATAGTGATGGTTGTCTTTGTTTAGGTGCTGTATAACACGACGAGGAGAAAATGTTATGTCCTTGTAGAGAAACAAAGCATATAGGGCATATTAAAGGCTATTGCACCATAATCTTACCCTCAAATGTAGTTTTGCTGATGCAACTATATAACTGTGCCTATTTAGGTTCAGTGTGGTTAAATATCAATTAAGAAATACATTTTTTTAAACAAATAAGGCACATTTTTAGGTTAAAATATATTTTTTAAATGTACACAGTAAACAGTGGTAACCTGCCTTTGTTTCATTAAGAAATTATTTATTCATAACACTTAAATTTTGTTTTGTTGATGTAACCTAATGTTTGTTTTTGGTTTTTTTGGTTTTGGTTCGGTGATGTTGCATAATATTTTTAACTTCAAATGAATGAAGCATATTTTAGGTTATTATTTTTGTCAGCTGCTCAGAGCTGAACAGAAACATAAATCAGGACTGTATGTTTTGCCATTATTATAGAGGGTTAGAATGTGCATAACTCTACCATTGAATAATAATTATATTACAGGATTATTGGTTAATCCAATTAATTTTGTTTTGTGATGTTTAATTAGTGCATGGTCTCTGTCATGCATTGATTTATTAATTTTACCATATCCCAATTTGTAATTAATTTAGCTAAATGGATGTCTTAAATTAAACTGGCCTGAAATATAACAAAAGCTATATTATCCCATTCAGCACTTTGCAAAGTACTGATTTGAAATTTCATTTTAAAATAAAAAGGTAGCTATCAGTGAATATTACACGAGACCATTTCAAGACGTCATGTTACAAAAGCACAGCAAATATTTTGTGAGAAAACTGCCAATGCTTCTGATGATTGGTGCTCTTTCTTTGGAATCTGATAACTCTGAAATGGAGAGAGGATGGGGCATTCAGCATGAAATCTAGACCTAGCATGTGTGCTAGAACGACCATACTGCCTCAGCTGGAATAGTAAAGATCAGCACCATGGACAGCAACTGTACTTATAAATGTATAACTTTCACAACACAGTGTGAGTAGATTAAATCCAGTGCACAGTGTACTTACATGATGAGGAGCTTTAGCATGTATATGGCTGTAAGGTAATAATACATCTTCCATAAGTTACTGGAACCAGATGTACAATATATTTCTATGTCACTGGATCAGAAGTGAACATGATCTAAACAATTCCTGTAAGATATACTGTCATTGTGGAGCCACAAACAGTATTTTATTGGCTTGTGTATTTGTACAAGCTTAGGTTATTATCCTCTGGTAGTGGGGGTTGCTGTATTGCCCACCACTTGTCCCCACAATACATAAAATCTATAAAAGATACATTAAAGGCAGACTGAGTGCATGTATCTATTTATTATGACTTTTCTTATGTCTTTTCTTATTTGTTTCTAAAATCATCACTGAGTAGTGTTTAATACTAAATAATGTAATTGTAAATGAGCTGCAGCATCTCATTAAGAGATTATCTTCATTCATTATCATTCAATATTTTAGCAAATTAAACACACTGATAGCAAATTACACACACACACACACACACACAGTCTGTCCTTCTTTGAAAGATGCACACTTCAGAAGTATGTTGTATTGTATAGGCAATGGGACTCTGTTTGCTATTGCTTATTACGGAGTTCAAATATACAGTTTGCTTTAGTTTTACTCAACCCAATACACTTTGAAATGCCTTCAAAAAAGTTATTTATTTGCTGTGACTAATTAGAGCTGATTCAGACATCTCAGGTTCAATATCAATATTTTCTCTAATAGGGGGTCTGTTTGTTTTCAGTATGAATATTGATTACAATTGTGTGATATAAAGCATTTGGTCATTTCATTTTGAAGCAAAACTACATCCGCTGGAAATCTGCAAAAATGATCATGCATTGTAAATATTTGTGAGTATTTACATACATGTCATTGACCACTGTCAATGGGACTCATTTAAAGCAAGAGACTGCACTCTCTTGTTTCAGTAAAATGGAAACTAACAGCGAGACTGACAGACTGCTCGTGAATTAGCGCGCAAAGCTGCTGCACTTCTCGTAGAGTAACAGCTGTCAAGAACATTACAGTGCAACAATATCTCTACGTGTTTAATATAATGAGGTGCCAGTGTAGGGTACAATAATTATATTATTTCTTAGAAATCCGATAAATCCGCGAAAGTGTGATGTCATTTCAGGCAGGCAAAATAATTCGCAGTTCATTTAATCGAATGTAATTAAAAACAATCCTTCGTTATTATTGCGACAAAAAATAAGCCTATACTCATGGCTTTGCTGTAGTGACGGTCTGTAGGTCTGTTTGGCGATGAAATTATGCGTACTGCTAAAATGAAACTCGTTCATTAGGTTACTTCATTTGAAAATGTCGTCAGTCAGACAAAGGATTAAATTTATGGTTAATTAATACAAGTAAGGCGGAATGAATAGCGTCCCACTACACTCTAAAAAATGCTGGGTTGTTTCAATCCAACTTTGGTCAAATATGGACTAACCCAGCCGTTGGGTTAAATTTTTACATTCAATTTTTAACCCAAAAGTTGGGTTAGTCCATATTTGACCCAAAGTTGGATTGAAACAACCCAGCATTTTTTTAGAGTGTATTATTATGCGTTTACGGTACGTGTGTTTGCCTGTCATAAGGTTTAACGGGAAAAGGAAAGTAATAGGCGTCAGAGTTTTCTGCACATAAGATGCATTCAAAATAATTTCCAAAATGTGCCAGGTGACATATTAACGTTATGATGTATAGGTGTACTTGCCATAAATGCTCGTTGAATTGGAAAATGCCCTTTGAAAATGTCGTCAGTCAGACAAAGGGTTAAATTTATGGTTAATTAATACAAGTAAGGCGGAATGAATAGCGTCCCACTACACTCTAAAAAATGCTGGGTTGTTTCAATCCAACTTTGGTCAAATATGGACTAACCCAGCCGTTGGGTTAAAATTTTACATTCAATTTTTAACCCAAAAGTTGGGTTAGTCCATATTTGACCCAAAGTTGGATTGAAACAACCCAGCATTTTTTTAGAGTGTATTATTATGCGTTTACGGTACGTGTGTTTGCCTGTCATAAGGTTTAACGGGAAAAGGAAAGTAATAGGCGTCAGAGTTTTCTGCACATAAGATGCATTCAAAATAATTTCCAAAATGTGCCAGGTGACATATTAACGTTATGATGTATAGGTGTACTTGCCATAAATGCTCGTTGAATTGGAAAATGCCCTCTGTTGGTGTTCAACAGCGTGAGTACTGGTGTTGACATGTTTCACACTTGCAAGTGAGTACGCTGAAAATATACTTTGACAAAATGTGATATAATTAACGTGTTATTTCAGTAAACTATTATGTTTTGACCCCCATTTTCTCCTGCAAACCAGACCTTCTCATTGGCAGCTTATAGCAAACAGACAGCTCAGCCGTTAAAGCAAGTGAAGGCAATTTTCAAGGATAATTGCGAACATGTTTTAATACATATGCATGAAAAACATTTTCCTTTTTGAGGGAGAGGGAGCGACTTAACGTGCTTATGCAATTGATTGAGGGGATGACCTGCTATTCAAAATGTTATTTGAGAACTATCAAAATGTGCAGACTTGCAAATTGCCCAGCTTGTATCTGAATTACTACCCCATTCATCATCATTATGGGTTGATAAGTTAATTTAACCATTTCATTCTGTCTTAATGAGCTATAGTTAAATTAATGTCACATAATATATGAAAGCAACATTTGAACAGAAGCGTTCATTTGAGACAAACAAGGGTGGCCATGGTTTCATTTGATGCATAAATCTCCTCATCACAGCCGGTGATTCTGTTGCCACGAACCCTGTTCCCTGGGTTTTCTTTAATGGTGTCAACAAAACAAAGCGCGCAATAAAGCTTTGTTGAAGACTAGCCGTTGACTCAATGTAATCAACTCAATAGCCGCGCCATTGTTTGGTGTATTTTCCTATTATATCACGTTCAGTTTATTCTAATTGCCCACCATTTTTTACGCAGTCCATTCACTGAAAAGCATATGGTGATCTATAACGCAGTATCATCCAGATATAATATACAGGGCGATGTAATCGTTAGCATGTCGAACTGGGGGTATCGTGAAGGTTTTAGTTCCACAGCAACAACTGGATGGGATTGGGATCACCTTCGCCCTGCCTATAGACTTCCCCGAGAATAATCAAATCTGACAGTTTTGGGTAGGCATTTACCAAAGTCTTCTATTTATCCGATTAAAAACTACGACCTGCCTTTATGGCACCTAATATATAGCTATGGTCTAATTTCATTGAAATTTTGGCTCACATGTTTAGTTGAGGGCACCATCATATCTTGTGAAGTTCCACCTTAAAACAACAGTCTTGTGGCCCCACGTGCTCCCTGTAGTTCGGATTTTGTCCTCCCCGCAGCAGCTGTCACCTCGCATTACTCGCAGTCAGCTAAATGAAACATTATTCTAAACATATGCATCGTAATCAGTTCGGTCACACTTACAAGAACACGCGTTAATAAGGCAATCAATCACAGTGGAACAAGCGAGTTGTTCTGCAACAGCTCATAAACAGTGTGTAATGAAGAATTGGAGGTTAGCATGACACGCGCTGATCAGATAATCAATGTCAAAGATGCGATGAATGCCAGTAAATGTAGTTTTTTTTATGTCGTTTCTATAAAATCTTCAATTTACAACAAGCAGTTCAATTACCCAGAAAATACAGTCAATTAAATGGGCGTGATTGGACAGTAGCGGGAGGATCATCGATCTTTGCATTTCTATCTTGGTGGTGGACATTTAATTTGGGTTTTCTATTAGCACCGAAATAAAGAAAAAATAAAATATATTAAACAAGCCGCAGATTTATTTTCTTGTCAAAAGCAATTCGGCTAAGGTGACAGACAGTTTGCTGCATTTTATGATGAATTCTTTTTTCAGTCTTTGCACATTGGATACAAAACTGATGGCGTTATTGTGGCCAGTGTTTTTCTGCCCTCTGTCTTCTCCAGTTTGCCTCTCCATCTGTCTCAATGCCTTTGTTGTATGGGTTGTAACCCTCGCCTTGGTAAAGAGCATAACGAAACATGGCGATACATCACACTCTTGCTGCGCCTCTAATCCCATTTCTTTAATGGGGACGTTCAAAAAGAAAGCAACTTATCTCAAAGTCCCCCGGGAACAGTCCGGTATATATTTAACCAAGCTGCAATTAACGACAGTATCAGCTTGTATCATTTAGAGGTAATGTAAAAATAATGGTAAATTATAGGGCCGGAATGACCCGTGATCGCAGACTCCATATTCCCTGTAGTTTTAGTGTCGTTTTAATTAATGCCAGACTCACTTTCTCACCAAGGAAAAAAAAATGTGTTAACAGAGCAGGAACGCTTCACACTATTGGATTTTTTTGTTTCATTGAAATATTGATTTTAAAAGGAAGATCAAAAGACCTCCGTGAAAAAATTTACTAACAATACATTGAATTTACGTGTATTTATTATTGTTCCGAATTTAGACTGGACAAAAAACTAAATTATTAAGTTAAGTAATAAAAAGGTGGGTGAAGTGGACATTTGTGAATCAAACGTTGTAGGCCACATCTGTTACATTTGATTTTGAATTTGCTCGATGCTTTCAGTTAAAACTTGTCCTTCATTCGTCGATTCTGAAACCACACCTACACGCAGCCACAGAAATACACAGGTAACAATTAGGGATCAGGTGAACAGGGGCGAGAAGCGAGAACAAAACAATTAAACACTACCGTTTAGCATGGCCAAACAACCTCAGGACCTAAGCATTTCAAATAGTTTTTGTAAAGCTTTATGATCAGATGATAATTTGCGTCATTTACGAATCGACCAATAATTTTGTAAACCCTTTGGACGGTTTTTGTGGCTAATAGGTAACGTGAGCATGCACAGATGAAATGAGGCAGGTTTTTGCATCAGACAAAATAAAATAACAGATTTACAGTTATGTATGCTTAATACAACCCATATCGATGTGTACAGACTACACCTTCTCTGTAAACGATATTTAGGACAACGGATTCATTTTTTAGAGTGAGAATGTCCATATACAATTGCGTTATTTTGTTTTGTTTTGTAATCTATGCTGGTGGCTGTGAAAGGTTAATATTAGCTAAACATTACAAATTAGGAAATACATATTTTATCTTGTCAGGGAAAAAGTAAACAAAATCAGACCGATACCTTTATTGTTGTTTCGGGTAAGTTTAATGAAGCGGCCAGTTCACATCTCCTGGGTCTTGAGACGTAGTTTTCCCTGTAAAATTCTTTCTCCAATCTTCCAATTTGTTCTCGGGTAAACGCAGTCCGGTACCTCCTCACCTGGTCCGCGCTCGAACTGCTGGAGTTACTGAAGGAACCGTTCATATTCGACGATGAACTTGTATTGGAGGTTCCTGAATTACTGTCGGAAAAACCTAAATCAGATAATGAAAGACATAAAAGACAAATGTGTAAACATTTTAAACATGCATATTAGTTTGTTTTTATCACTTTGATTTGTGCATTAAAATAAAATACACAAGCACGTAAAATAATATGTGTGATTGTATTTATAAATGTATAAATGCAATTCAGCTGAAATATGTTGGGATTACATTTAACTTTATTTTTTCAATCAAAATGATTTTAAACCAAAAATAAAAGCCTCAGAGCATCAACAATTAAAGACAAACGCATTCACTGGTTTATATATATAATTTTAACACTGCAAAATTCATGCAGGGCACACAATGCAATCACAGATATAATTTAATTCGTTTAAGGCAACGGTAAAATACTTGCAAGCTTACAAAAAGTCTTTGGGGAAAATGCTACCATAAAATGTAACATAACATATGAAAACCTACATTTGAAAAATTATAATAATAAAAAAAATAACTAATTCCAATGAGGGCTATATTTGAAACTTTGTGATGCCCACTCAAATTAGCATTTGAGCAAATTTATAAACGACTTGATCAAAGTTTCCATGCAAATTGTTTACCTTTGCTATTGTTTTCCTTCTGTTGGCTGAGACTGCCCGGTGAGCGATGAGACGGGCAACCCACTTCCACATCGCTGTTCATATCGGAGTCAGGAGAAACTTCAGGGTACAGGTTTATTTTCTTCCTGCTTTCGGAGGACGACACTTCTGTGGAGGAGGTATTGTCGCCGTGGTGGGTTCCGAATAAGCTGTCGATTTCGAACTTGCCTTTGGTGGGAATATCCCCGAGACTGCCATGCAGCGAGGCAGAAGTTATTCTCGGGCTGAGGCGACCTGCGTGCTGAGAATTTTCCAGGGCCTCAAGCACCGCGTTCCCGGCCGAGTCAGTGAGGTTGGAGAGCCTCTTTCCTGCCACTGGACTGTGTAGTCCCCTTTCCATCAGAATCATTTCTTTTCTTATCCTCTCCATCACGAAGTCGTGCAGAAAAAATCCAAAGTCCCAGGGCTGGTGCTCCGATGACTGGTGGCGGATCTAATCCGCATTCAGCTCAGCTGCCGCCTCTAAATAATATAACACCTTTATGAGCTGGAAGCAAAAAAACTGAGGAATGCCAGTGCGGGCAACGAATGACTGCTCAAAATGGCCCGCGCATCCTCTCTGCTCCAGAAAGTCATTCATCAAAAAGTGGTTTGCGCCTTCGTCGTTAAAGGTGCGCGTGACGCGGTTCGAATGATCATTTATTGTAACAGGTTTATAAGCAAATAAATAGGAGAGAGACTGTCATCGGTTGATAGAGTCGGCCCTTGATCGGCCAGACGCGTATATCCAGGTGGAGAGAGAGAGAGGAGAAGTGAGGAGAGCAGCTTCTGATCCGAGTCTGTTTTAGATGGCTCCTGGGGTTGGCCTCTGGGGTGAAATTGACAGTCTGATTAATAAAATGAGCGCGGCAACATTTCCCTCTTCATTTAGGAATATCATTATGCTTTGATTCTCTATTGTTCCCTCCTTCTGTTCTGGCTCTCCCACTCCCTCTCTCTGAGCTGTTTCTTTTTTCTTTCTCTGTCGATTATTTCACACAGACGTTTTCGAATGAGAGGCATTAGTTAAAGATTTTTGCATCCAATTAGAAGATCCCGTTGTGAATATGGTTGTTCGTTACTAAAGAACAATATGGGCGCATTAAATTTAGTGACCAGTTTTAAACGCCGCTGGTTTCTTATTTGTTGGAGATACTATAGCCTATAATTCAAGCGTTTGCAAAAGCTCATCTTATATTCTTATTTTTGAATTATTTGTTGGTTGAATTATTTATTATTTTTTTATTGGTAGTCGTCTTCTAACACCTTTCTTGTTTTATATCGTAGCCTGAGATGCATTATTTTCGTCAATTGATGGCATGCTCATTTCACCACATCGAGTTAAAACTGACTAATCACGCTCAATGACACATTTCGTTCATTAAATTCATGTTTAAAATTCATGTTAAAAAAGACTGAACCAAAATTATGAGATGACACACGAAAACCCTTTTAATTCGTTCTACACATATATTCACAGATATGGACTGATGTCGTCTTCACGTTTTATTGCTACATAATTATAGTTGGCAGATGTGAATACTGTATAGGGATTATAATTATGATCAGTGCCAATCTAGATCGCTGATCACACTTAAACACGTAAGAAATCGAATAGGCTATGCAAAAGGGAAAGACTAAATATTTTACCCAGTAACGTTTCTCACAATAGCCCATGTCGACTTTTTGACATTTTAGCGCATATCTCAAACGCTGTAAAATAGGTAATGAAAAATATGTTTTGATATGTGATGCTGAGTCTATAGTCTGCGCTCTCAAATCAAGTGTTAACGTGGGGGCGTGAGCGGCTCTTTAAGGCGAGGTTAAGTTATCCACTTCAAGGAGAGGGAGACGGGGGAGCGTGACAGGGACGCGCGCTAAACTGTTTTTGCGTTCTTTGGCGCCCTCGCCAGTTTTTTCACAGATAATACAACAACTTGCATTCGGTGAGTGTTCAAGGTAGTTCATTAACCATACACACACCAACCCATTTGTTAATTTATTGTAATAATAATTTAGTTATTGTGACATCTGTACAATGCAATGACAAATGAAATCAGCAAAAGGGACACAGACCTACACTGTAAAAAAGGATTGTGATTTTAACAGTAAAAGACTGTAAAAATGCTACAGTAAAAAACTGTTAACTGGTTAACAGTAAGTTTCCATTCTATATTCGGCGAATAAATGTAATTACATTTAATGTTATTCTACAGTAAAATACTGTTTAAAAATACGGTTTTTGGAAGTGAAAAAGAAAAAGTAATTGTATAATTTACAGTGAAAAAAAACATAAACGGTATTTTATTGTGAATTTAGTATAAGTCTGTAAAACCTAAAATGTTGCTTCCATATTTTTTACGGTGAAGTTCTGGCAACCACAGCTGCCGGTATTTTACCGTAAATTTCACAGATTTTTTTTTTTTTTTACAGTGTAGGCTATATTAAAGTCGTAGTTGCCTGTAAAAACATTCAGTCTACAAAAATTGAAAAGTGTTTGGTAAAAAAACAAAATCGCTAGCACATTCATCTCAGTCTTCGTATTTTCTTCTACAAGTTTTCCAAAAAGCTCAAATGTCTAAGTAAAAACGCTCGCAAATAAACAGCAGCACTGGACTACAATAACTTGAGCGCATTTCCGTTTGCTCTAGCAGTTGATATTAATGTAGCCTAATTTGTTTATTGCATAACAAATTGCAACTAGTATATATATAGACAAACTATGTGATCGACTCGTTATGATTAACGGGACTCATTAATCCCGTCATGTCTGTGAGGACTCTTGTTCAATAGATTGTTCAGCTAAAAATGACTAATTGTGTCAACATTAACACATGTTTCATACCTGTATGCTTATCTTTCGTCTGTGGATTACGAAAGAAGATATTAAATATGTTTCAACTGTTTTTGTCTATACAGTGAAAGTCAGTGTGACTCAACTCTTTAAAGTATATCTTTTGGAATGACATGAGGATGAGTAATAGTATAGTTGAGAAGGGTTATTTGTTTATTTTATTTCTTTGAAGTCAAGACCATTTTATTTGTCAACTTCTCACAATATATATCATTTCAAGGTAATTTTTCTGGAAAACATTTTTTTTACAGTACTAATGCCTCAAAAAGTAGTTTAATTAAAAATATTTCTCCTCTGGCTTGACAAAATGTAATGCTAATAGTTAGTCATATATGCAAGTCATGTTTGTTAGGTCAACTAAGTAGATGTACATTCATCACAGTCAATGTGTGAAACTTAAAGTTAGGCTACTTACCGAGAATGTAAAATGATGATTAAGTTCCAACACAAAAAACAACTCTGTGCACAAAGCGGGGTCCATATAGAAATGCAGTATATACGCTTATGAAATTACAAAACACATCTGTCTTCCACACCTGACTGTAAATAGTGGACTTCGCTTTGTAGGCTACATACAACCACACTCATTTTGAAATGGAAAATAGCCCTGACGAAGCAGCTGCAACAAAGTTGAAAATCCTACATAATGCTTTAGACTAATCTTGATGCGACTATAGAACTTGCTGGTTGCAAGTTTATTCGTTATCAGCATAGTTTAACAATTCGGTGTTTCCCAAAACCATAGTTCCGAAAAAGCATACGCCATTGCAATCTTCTTTAAACTACAGCTCTCGACCTTCAAGTAGGCTATAGTGTGTCCTGTTAGTATGACATGGACTTAAATATATCACGGTCTTGGGCAAAATAGGCAAACTAACATGCAGGCTGCGTTTCACAGAAGCATTGTAGGAAGTTCGTTGTAGATGAGTGCTCCTGGAGAAATAGAGTGCGCTTGTAAGAACACAGACAGACACGTGCAGCCACCTGCGGGACAAATGCAAAATTACACCTAATCTTAATACAGTTATGGTTAATACGTATGTTTACTTTTATTTAAATTAATTAAAATGTTTTCTTAAATGTATAAATAATTAAATACTTATTTATTCATTATTCTAGTACACTATTTTCCTGTTTAACACTGTAAAGCTGCTTTGACACAATCTGTAGGGTAGGCTATTGTAAGCGCTAAATAAAGTTGACTTGACTTGATTAATAACATACACGTGGCAAGTACTGATTTGTGTAGACATAGTCTGGCACTATAACAACATATACATACAATAGAGAGAATATGGCTTACTGAGCATGGCCATATATTAATCATATTGGCTCGCCAAAACGCGTCTTCCCATAACTTCCCATCTTTATCCTGATCAACAACAGCCTATAGGCCTACTAAGACCCATGCTCAGCATGGATGCCATTTATTTTGGGGAGTAAAGAGCACACCACCACATGACTTGTAAATGTCAGCGTCCACTTCTTTAATGCGAACTCCGTAGCCTTCTTTTAGTATCCTCTTCATTGTCAGATGACTCGTGCCTTGTCCAAATACCCACACTTGCAGTCTTGGCCACTTGAGAGCGCGTGCGCGCGACAGGAAGTAAGTGCTCAAGACTGTCCCAGGTCCTCAAAACGCCAAAGTGCAGTGCCCTTCCTGTTGAAAAAAACAGCATATGTAAAGCCAACCATCGTGGGTGGCGCTAAATTGGCGGCAAATTTTAATCTGCGTTATCGTGCGTGTGCTTACACACACACACGCACACGCACACACACACACACACACACACACACACACACACACACACACTACACTAAACCTACTATCACGGAAAACAATACCAAATAATGATTAAAATGAGCATTTATTTTCAAGACAAGGTTAAACGAGTAGTAAAAGAAACAATGCATAATTTACAGTACATGTACTGTATGTACAAATACTATTATTTTACCTTAAAATCCTCACTTTAACCCTCACATGATTAAAGGGGTCATACGATGCAATTTCATGTTTTCCTTTCTCTTTGGAGTGTTACAAGCTCTTAGTGCATAAAGAAGATCTGTAAAGTTGCAAAGACTAAAGTCTCAGATCCAAAGAGATATTCTTTATAAAAGTTAAGAGTCAACTACGCCTACCTAAAATGACTCGTTCTAACATGCCCCCACATGTCTACGTCACTATGTGGGAAGATTTGCATAACGCCTCCCACTCTAGACCGCCGTGTGTGATGCTGTGTTTCGTTGTGAAAGCGAAACTACATTGTTTGGTCTTCCAAAATTGGACACGACTACAAATCAGTGGTTAAGTTGTATTTACAACACTGTTCCAGAACAGTTCAACCCAAATATTCAGATGTGTGCAGAGCATTTTATGGAGGACTGTTTCCTGATCCTGGGAGAGTAGACTACAATGCCGGCTATTCTGACTGACAGACTGTAAGTACGTTTTCATTTAAAGGATTTGCCACTGACGATTCAAACGCGAGTTTTGTTGTGAGCTTGTTTGTAATTTCTCTGATCCCAAATGCAGA